GAATTGAAAAAAAAAAAAAAAAATAAAATAAAAATTTTAATAAGAGATTTTTCAAAACGTACGCACCCATGAGTCCTAACGAAGTTGAAACTAGCAGTCAAATCGCAGCAACGATACCGATAAACAATAAATTCTACTTTGGGTACCCTGAAGACTAGACCATGCACCTTACTAATTTAGTAAAATAAATGGGTATCTGCCTTAGTTTTGTGGGTACTAAAATAAAATTTGGTATTTGATGGTATCGTAGCGACAATTTGGCTGCTAGATTCAGTATTATAAAATTATTTGAAAATTTTTAAATAAATTCGTATAAGGATACACTATTTTCTTCAATTGACGATCGTACTTTGATATCATAACAGTACACGCTCCACATCCTCCTTCAGCACAGCCGAGTTTCGTACCAACCAGACCCACTATTACTTATTAAGGTCAACTATTCTCTATTAATACATTTTCTATAGCGCAGCATTTATAGTTGGTTAATTTCAGATTCATACAAGTTTAACTTGTTGAAGTATTATCCGTTTTTTTTAAAAAAAGGACTTATTACAACAACTGTTAATGTTAAGAAACTGAAGTCATTGGTATTTTGGTTGAAAATCCTAAAATGGATAAACTTTTCATCCATCGACGTTTTTTCCCACGAATCTAATGACTTACGATGATGGTGACTATTCCAAACAATAATAAATCAGAATATAAACCAATAAGTTCCTAAATAACGGAATCTCATCGGTTAATAGTACTGGCATAGCAATTTTCATAACTTTTTCTCCCAGTGTATTTAAGTACATCCATGCCCGAATAAAGTTTTGTAAAGTTAAAATCGGGAAGTTTAAACGATAATTACAAGAAAGAAAAAAAATTCTTACTATACAAATTTTGGAATAAAATTATTTTAATTAGATAACAAAAACTAAATGGTGGATGAACGCCTCTACTGAAATTAGTAATTATTTAATGTTCAAAAAATCGTCGATTCCAAGAAAAACAGAATCTAATTTCTGATTCATTGATTTCAAACTATTAGACTTGAAAGTTTGAAATGATTCCTTAATGTCACTGTTGAATAAACTAATTTTAAACGGCATCACTATTATTTTCGCCAATTGAAAAATAAACGTAATCATTTGCACGTGCACAAAAATCGTATAATGGTATAACATTTACTTATTTGTGCTTAGTCAGTACCTGATGATCTCCAGTCAAACAATCGATTTCCACCTCAGCGCATGCAGCTCCATTGGTGAAATAATTGAACGGTCTTCCCGAGTTTGTAGCAAAATCGTATCCTATGTCGGGAGTTTTGTAAAATCCTGTTGCGGATAAACTGACTCGATCGAAGTAGGCTTTCTTGATCCAGTCCTCCCACGTGCCATTTGGATGGGCATCGATTATGTATTGAATTCTATTCATGATCTCTTTACAAGCGTTCTAAAAGCAATTGAAGTGAGCCAAATAAACTTATCAATATAAGATGTATATAGGGTAAACTTAGCGTTTTGGTGAAATATCAAGGTGTTCAAAATGGCCAGGAATTATATTAAAATACAAAAATTATTATAAAACTTTGGGAATGTGCATTTTATAGTATAACCTTCAGTTTTTTTTTAGAATTTTCTATGGGTTGTGTTTTTTGTTAGCGAGTAAATGTTGAAGTTCAGTTCCTCAACATACATTCTTACGGGAGTTATCCTTAATTTCCATTTTTACATGGATTGTGAATAATTTGTAAAAATTCAGAGGCATGATAAAAAAAATCCATTCATGGATATATATGTTTTTAGATTCAGTCTGCAAAATTTCGTGGTTATTACAGTGCACTCAAATAAAAATCAACGTAAAACGTAATCAGTAAATCGGATTCGTAGACTACGTGCGGGCAGTTCCTCTCTTCACCCCTCTGTCACATGATTTTCGACCATCTTCAAGTTTAAGATAGAAAACAATGGTAATGCTGTGCCTAAGTAATAATGGCGTCTTTTACGTGCATTAGTATACTTTTACGCATACATAAAAGTATTAGGATTTATCCGCACTTAAGTTTAACTGTGGTGGCGCTGATTGTACTCAAACTAAGATGGCGTCAAAAATAAGAATTATGGTTTTTGATGCCATCTTTGCTTAAGTATAATCTGCGTCAGTGTACAGTCGAGTTTTTTTTTTTGTAGACAATCAAAATTATTGTGCGAGTAAAGGGGGTCACCATACAACGCCACTGCTTTTGCAATGTATCTCAATAAATATATTTTTCCATGACATAATATATTACCATAACAGCCATTCCATTGAGATCTGAACCTGCACTAGCTGCCGTTGGCGACGTATTAGGAACTTTGTCGGTTGCCGTTTCGGCTACGTGGATTTTGTTCGGGTTTACTTTCAGTATGCGACTGGCCACCTATTTGGAATAATAAGTTTACAATATTGACAGATTTCTACAATTTAGGCTATTACAACTCTTTGTATACCTGAATCATTTTGGTGTGCAGTCCTTGTCCCATTTCCGTTCCTCCATGACTTAAAAGCACCGAGCCATCGGTGTACACGTGCAAGAGAGCTCCGCTCTGATTCATGAACAATGCCGTGAAGGAAATGCCAAATTTCACCGGTACGACTGCGAGTCCTCTTTTCCTAAATCTGTGCTCTCTGAAAACAATGTGTAATTTGATTGAAAATTGTTATCTGTATTTCTTGTAGACATTCTTATCCATCCTTCCGTTTTTGAGGCTTTCAAAAACCAAAATAACTCAAATGATACTCCAACGGCTTGTAAACGAGCCTTACTTGTTGAATTCTGCGACTTGTTTCACGCGTTCTTCATGATCAGCTAGAGCAAGACATTCGCTCCAACATCTCCTCAGCGTGCAGTGATCGAGTATCTGGTTGTAATGAGTTGTGTCACCTTCTCTGTACAGATTCATTTCTGCGATCTACGAATAAATTGGGGAACAAAAACTGTATTCTTCACAACCTACACTTGGTAGATTGAAACTTTGTATCTTTACTTTTCAATTTTACCTTTGTAACATCGCGTCCGAGATAGTCGGCGACGTGTCGGATGATGTTCTCGGCGGCGAACATCCCTTGCGGTCCCCCGAAGCCTCGAAAAGCCGTGTTGGACGGCAAATGGGTCTTGCACATGTAACCGTAAACTCGGACAGATGGTATTTTGTAACTGTTCTCGAAATGGAACATGGCTCTTTCCACAATCTTTGAAAAGATATAAACGTAGATTTTCAAAAAAGTCACATTGATCAACGTTGCTCGGATCCTTGACGCGACCTATTCAAATAAATATACACACTCACCGCCGGAGAAAGATCGATGGAGTATCCTGCATTGCTGTAGATATAAATTTCCACCGCTTTCAACAACCCATCGCTGGTGAATCCCACTTTGTACCTGAATAAGAACGGATGCCTCGTGCCGCTCATCATCATATCTTCGTCCCTGTCCAGCATGCACCTCACTGGCTTCCTCAGTCTGCATTTTGACCATTCATTTACTTCAAATTCCGTGTTATATATTAGTGATGAAATGAGGTGATAAAGCAGCCTACCTGTGAGCAGCAAAGGCAACCGGTAGAGCAACGAGATGGCCTCGAGACTCCTTGCCACCGAAGCCGCCACCCATTCTCTTGACGCGCACGTTGATCCTGTTTATGGGGACGCCGAGCACATGGGCCACGAGCTTTTGAATCTCTGAGGGATGCTGCGTCGAGGAGAATATCTCGAGCTCGTCCTCCTCCCGCGGAACCGCCAACGAGCTGTGAGTTTCCAGATAAAAGTGCTCCTGGCCACCCATGTGCACCTCCGCCTCGAGCACATGGTCGGACTCCGTAAAACCACGGTCCACATCACCCTTGACTATACTTTTACCACTGCCCTCATGAAAAGACCTAGCTTTTATGGCGTCCTACAATAAATCGGCAGGACATCGATTGATTTATTTTTCATTCTGTACGTGTTTGATAGAATTAGAAGCTTCCATCCAGACGTAAATAAAAACTGATGTTAAGTCCAGAAGTTGAAAAAAACCTTTTTTGATTTTTAACCACCATTCAAATGTTAAGAAGTTTTTATAAACATCTGTTTCTATGTTCATCCTTAGATTTACGTTCCTTGATTTCAAATGTGCATAACTTATGAACGGAAACTTCAAAGGACAAACAATACTATTTGATATGGTTATACCTCAGCTTTCGCTTGCAACTGGTTAGAACATCCTAGAATTACCTTCGATATATTTCAATCTTTTTTTTTTGTCATTGGAGTTTAATCCAATTTCGCGATCTAAAACCCTGATGCTCCCATGACAGTTAGAGCCTTACAGCATAGCTATATTATATTCTGATTGTTACCTCGATTGATATTATGATTGGTGAAAGATCTTCGTATTCCACCTTGACAAGTCTGGCAGCCTTTTGAGCCGTCAGTTGATCGTTTGCGACGATCACACCGATTGTCTGTCCTTGACTCGTAACCTGTAATTAATATCCACTGTCTACAATCATCCTCGGCATAAACTCACCCACACCCAACTCCAATCTCTATATTTACTTCTTTGGAAACAAACAGCTCCTCATCGTGAAATATCGGACCAACATGTCTGTTGTGCTCCGGGATGTCATTGGCGTCGTAAAAAGCAACCACTCCTTTGACGTTCAGTGCTTGTGATGGGTCGACTTTCAAAATTCGGGCATGGGCTCTCGTCGACAGTACAAACGCCAAATACAGTTCGTTGGTGATCTTTGGCATGTCATCCAGATAAACAGCTTCTCCGGTCACTTGTTTCATCGCGCTGGCGTGAATTATCGGCTTGCCTACCAGATCCGTGGAGCCCCCATTCGATGGAGTCTTCAATAACGGTTCATTGAAATTAAGACGATAAGCATCAACTCTCCTGATCATTAGTTTTATTATTGCAGCATCGAAAACTTACGACTTCATAGTATTGCGAACTGTTTGGAGGTGCGTAGTGGAAGCCTTCAGCGGCGGACTCGATTTTTTTGGGCAAAGGTTCGATATCGACCACGTCCCTTTGCAACTGTTTCGAAATATGGACGAATCCTTTGAAGAATAAGCTTGAAGAAAAACATGCTTTGATTGTTTGCTATCACTCGGTATCAGGTAAAAGAGTGTTAATAAAAATACCTTAAAGTTAAAGAACGACGATACAAAATCATACCCCCCGGGGCATCGCCGGGTAACGGAAGTTCTTTGATGAGGGAATTAGTTACTGATTCCACCAAATCTTCGTTCCACTTTCTGTGAATATTTTCAAGCGATTCGAAAATTGTTAACGACTTTACACGTTGATTTTCGAGCAATATGTACATGTGCAATTCTGTGAAACTCACTTTCCACGAATAGCATCGCAGGTTTTTGTGGCCAAGACCGTTGTTGGTGCCATGCCACCAAAAGCCATGAAAGCTTTTTGAATGACACTCGTGCCAGGCTCGAAAAACACGTTCATCGCCAAATTCACGATGGCAATGTCATCATCCCTCCTCTTGGCTTGTTTGTATGCCACGAAAAATTGGTTCTACGTGATGGAAAATTATCCATGAGCGACGTATTATTGTTTTTTTTTTTTCTGATCTATTAGAAAGTGCCTTTTCGATTTACCGGAAGAGAAAAAGGAATTTCTATCGACACCAATATCTCGTCCGAAGCTACAATGTTGCGTCTGTAGCCGGTAAAAAATGTGTGGTCCATGGTTACCGACCTAAAACCTCGTTCAAGGCTGCACAGGTTTAATTTCACGTTCGCAGCCATCAACACCGGGTTCATGTCGGAAATTGGACTACCGGTCATGATGTTTCCTCCGATAGCCTAATTGCTTGCGAGGAACGAAGAATAGTAATTTATACGAAATTTTCAGAAACAATCGGTATACGGTCTAAAAACTCACGGCGACATTCCTAATTTGCTTGCCTGCGAACCAATGTAGTATTTCTACCGACGCCTTGAATATTCTGGTTTGACATTCTGTAAAAATTAGGATGAGTCTATTCACATTGTCACGTGGAAAATCAACAGTCTAGAAAGAATCTCGTTTACCAGGTTTCGTCGACATCTGATGCCTGAATGCCTCTTCCATTTCGACTAGAGTGACACTAGCACCTATTTTCAATGCACCATCTAATTCCGTAATTTCTCGCATCTCCTTGATTTGAGTAGGAAATACCAGGGAAGGGTAAACGAAATGCTTGAACTTCACCTCCACACCTGAAATTTACATTCAACGATCGATTAGTATTTCTGTACGCGATTTTCTCGACGAATCCCTTACCAACTTCTGTATTCCCCACGACAATTTTAGCATTCGGGTATTGCTGCTTCAGTTTCAAAAGTTCTTTCAGACAAGTTGGCCTGAACCACGTGATTTCTTTGCCTTTGAAGATCAAGTACTGCTCGTCGTACTCGGAAGACAACTGAAATCCAAGCATTTTTGAGTAGTAGAATGCGTAACGAAGTAAATTTTCACAATGTTCACCTGCAATTTAGGAGGGAATATCGGCTCCTGAGTCGGATCGTAAGGCACGAATTCCTTGGAGTCGAACAGTTCCGTGGGCTCGGAGGTGAACGCCTTTTTGCAACAGGCGTCTCCCATGGCACAAACTTTGGGCGCGCCCTGGTCGTTTCCGGCCAGCCTCTGAGACTGCTCCCACTCTTCCGTGAACGTCCTGAAACCCTCGATAATCGGTCGGTAGCCCGTGCATCTACAAAGATTACCTGGAATCATTTTTTCACTAGTTAATCAACAAAAACAACTAATATATGGAATCTGAAGGTTTCCGTATGGCAATCATAACAAGAGACTTACTTCAAAGGCATTGTACGTAAAACAAAACAAAAGTATAATTAACAATAAAGAAGATGTTCGAAAGTTCAATAGATCCCATTTAAATTGTGTATGCATCAGTGCTATCACCTTTCGTTCATATCATGTCAATAATATGTTTAATATTGTTACTAAATTCTTTGGGAATAATACATATTGTTTATTTTTGCTCTCACAAACAGTCTTCTTACTGAACAATAAAAGTATTCTTCGCAACAGTTATCGACTGTTAGTGTTGTAGTCTGATGTTTTGTCTTTTGTACAGTCTGATGATGCTAACACGCGAAACGTAAATCCAAGTAGATTCAAAGAAAATATACTTTGGTCCAGCAATATTTCGGTCATTAAAATACTTGTTTCTTCCCGATCACATTTTGTACTGTTTTGCTTTTTCTTTTTTTTCAATTTGTTTACGGTTCTTACAAGTAATAACCATTTATTGAATTTCATGGATGCTGCAAGAAATAAATCAAGGGTCAATCAATTCGAATTTATCATACCCTGAAATGCAACCTCCATGTCGCTCATAGTTGGCAATGGTTTTGTCCTCAATAGAGCATACATGGACATGACGATGCCAGGAGTGCAAAAACCACATTGGGATCCGTGAGCTTTTGCTATTCTCTCCTGTACAGGATGTAGTTTGGTTCTAGTACTACCGATACCCTCGACGGTAGTGACGGCCATGCCGTGCATTGCACATACTGGGGTCAAACAAGCATTTGCTGCTACATGACTGATGTTTGCGTTGAGGTAATGGTTACGTAAAAATGTTTGCATATACGTAAACTTTTTTTTTGTGATTCAGTTGACAGTTATAAGAAACACCATCGGTAAGATGCAGGATTTAATTCCGGGTCAAACTTTAGGTTTCGTTGTTGTGCATAAAAGAGAACATATTTTCATACATGTGAGGTTCGTGTTTTTTAAATTAGAAATTAGAATTAGAATTTTTCCAATTATTTTGAAAAACAACGTAATTAACAAAAAAATATATCCGAAAATACTCGTCAATTAATTAAAAAATTGAGTACTATAGCTCAACAAAAATACCATGATCAATGATAACGATTTTTTTCATATCAGATTGAAAAATGTCCGATAAACATTCATGTAACTGATTGCAGATTCTATGAAACTCGTATCGATGATTAATAAGTACGTATTGATACTACAAGTTATCAGCTTTATGTAAGCATCTCGCTGAAAACAAACGTCGATTTATGATTGTACTTTCGCATTGCTATTTTAAAAGAGTGAAACGAAAGTGAGATGCAATTTTTCAAATCTTAAAATTAATATTTGAATTGAAAAAAAAAAAAAAAAAATAAAATAAAAATTTTAATAAGAGATTTTTCAAAACGTACGCACCCATGAGTCCTAACGAAGTTGAAACTAGCAGTCAAATCGCAGCAACGATACCGATAAACAATAAATTCTACTTTGGGTACCCTGAAGACTAGACCATGCACCTTACTAATTTAGTAAAATAAATGGGTATCTGCCTTAGTTTTGTGGGTACTAAAATAAAATTTGGTATTTGATGGTATCGTAGCGACAATTTGGCTGCTAGATTCAGTATTATAAAATTATTTGAAAATTTTTAAATAAATTCGTATAAGGATACACTATTTTCTTCAATTGACGATCGTACTTTGATATCATAACAGTACACGCTCCACATCCTCCTTCAGCACAGCCGAGTTTCGTACCAACCAGACCCACTATTACTTATTAAGGTCAACTATTCTCTATTAATACATTTTCTATAGCGCAGCATTTATAGTTGGTTAATTTCAGATTCATACAAGTTTAACTTGTTGAAGTATTATCCGTTTTTTTTAAAAAAAGGATACAGTTGTTGCGAAGATAATAAAGCAGCGTCCACACAGGATCAACATTATCGTCCACCACCTGTATTAAAAAATTAAAAAAAAATATTTATAACAATAATCATTCGAAATACATAAAATCTTATCCATTATCATTATTAATACATTACATTTTAACAAGCTCAGGTGCGTTATCGCTCGCGATACGCTGCAAGTCGTGTACCAGTTGTTTTTCAAGGAATCAAATATTTATTACGACATTCAAAAATATGATTCTTTAATACTTGTGTTTGTGCAAGTTAAGAATTAATCCAGCATTAAATTGTTAAAAAAATCGATTAATTTATGAACAATAGGCTATTACTATTGAAATTGTTTAATCACTCTCGAAGTGTTTCCTATGGTCTTATGTAAGTCGGCACTGGGTAAATTGTTATCTTTTCCACCGACTAATATTAACTCCATAAGAACAAGATAAACGTGATGAAAAATATGTATAAATTGTTGCGCTCACCTCTTTGCCGTTTACGTAAAATACGAGGACGTTGCTGATCTTCGTGCGCTTGTAGTTATTTCCATTCAACGAATCATCCGTAGACTCTTCACTACTGTCTTGGTCGTTTAGTTTCAATTCGTCTGAACTCATGATTCCGAACTACAACACTTACAAAACTAAAAAAAAAATCAACTAAAAACAATTTAAGAAATAACTCAATATTTATTAAATCGTCTGATTAAAAACTGCCCTAAGCTATTGACCAATACGGGTTTGATACCAATTAGTTGATCAATAGCTATAATGAAAGTATAGTTTAAACGAATGTAACATTTTGTTTCTTGTGAATAATCAAATTTTTATTAGTTAAACTTTAATTGAAAATTTTTATTTCCATGAAGATCTGGCAATTTTCCATTCAATTAAAATTCATAAAATACTCAATCAAATTGAAAATCTCAATTTAATTTTGGTTAACTAGTGATTTTTACAATTTAATTTGAACCGCAGAGCACAGTTTCACAGGTTGAAAAATAAAAGAAACAATGAATAACTAAAAATTGTGTGACATTCGAAAAAAAAGAAGAAAAAAAATCTGCTCTAGCGCGTTTTTGCAAACGTAAAGATACTACAGTACGATTAAAAAAAAATATGCTACCGCCCAGCGTTATTATCGCGTTCAACTGATCAATTACACCAATGATAATACCAACACGGCTCGGAAGTCTTTTGAAACACTCTAGGATCAAGCCGCACGCTCGAATGTAAGTTGTCTCCAGCCAATCAGTGGGTACACTACGTGTGCGTATTTGTAACTGCGAGTGTTGATGCTTTGCCTTAAATTGCGAGATGCAGCTACAGGCGTGAGAAGAGAAGGGAAGGAGAAAAATTCCTGAAGACGATAGGAGCAGGAAAGAGGCGCAAGAGACCAGCGTTGCTGGGTTCATAAGCAACGAAGGCGTGCAAAAAACGTAGATCCCGAGACTATTCGTTTTACGTAAGCAGTCGAATAGTTGCTGTTGCTGCGCTCACGAGTAGGAGATTTTTCGCATTATGCTAATTACTGTGTTGTACACTCGAGACATAAAAGCTCGAACGAAGGATTTTTATATGGTGATGTGTTGAAGTTTTTCAAGTGAAGTTAAAGTTGAAATTTACAGTAATTTTTTTACGCAAACAATGCAAAAACAGAAAATTGTATTAATACTTTGAAACATTCATGTTCACACGTGAAAAAAATTATTTTATTAGAAACTTCTACTTTTACTTTTATTTGAAAGAAAAAAAAAATTTATTTAAATATGACTGCACCTAAAAAATGTGTATTTAGAGCATCTAATGAGTTTGAAGATCATTTACAATCATGCTAACACAGCAGC